ATGACTCACAAATATTTTAACAGGTTTCCTGAGATTTTCCTTTTCTGTTTCGTTTCTCTCATTTCTCAGGCGTTACATCAGTTCTCATCTGGCTCTTGGTGGAGTGAAAAATGTGTCATTGAATTTAACCATCTCTAATGCTGGAGATGACGCCTATGACACCAACATCTACTTGAACTTCTCCAGAGAGGTTCACTACATCAACTTCCTACAAAGAGTAAGTCTGATATATAACTCAATAGTTTCTCTAAACCAGACTTTTGACTGCAGTCTTGTCCAGTTTGCTGCTTATTCTTACCAAGAACTGACTGACATGTGTACTTGGCACTATTGTTAACATGACATACAGGAAGGGCTTGTAACGCAGTCACACCTATTAGCCACTTTGGCAGGTTTAAATTCATACATTATATAGCTTGTACATTTTTCAATTGTAGTCTTTTAAAAAGGCATCTGAAATAATAAACTAAGTGCGATGTAGTGTTGTCAAATATACAGATTTTTCGATCCTGAAACATCGTCCAATACTCATTTTCCTCAGAATAGATAATTCTAGATAATATCACACTGTAAAAAAATATTTTCAAGATTTGTTATCACAACATTTTTTCTTTTGTCAAATCAACTTAAATAATTTATTTAGTTGAGATAACTTATTATTTTGAGTTTCTGATGATTAAATTCATCTCCATTGTATTAACTCACTTTTTCCAGTTCAAGCAACTTAAAATTTTAAGGCAACCCAGGTTACTTTCTTTTTTAGGTTAAACCAACAATATTTTTTTACAGTCTTTCTCATCTCTCAGACAACGATTGACACAAACCCGCCTCTCCTCACTCACTCGATTTTGCTCCGGATGAATATTGTTGGTGTTACAGGGTTTGAATTTTGCTGTGGGATTGGGCATAATTTTACTCATTAGCAAGTTTTGTGCAAGTGCAACACATAAAGCCGCCTCTCAGAAATAAATTGAGTATTTTTTTACTGCTAATTGCGCTTAAACAGTCAAATACACACGTTATTGTCAAAATGCCGATCTTGGCGAGTAATAATGTAAACACAGTCAGTTATGTCGTAGCCCTCAAACCGTATTCACTTTCTAGCCCTTAATCCTGTAATTTTGGACAAATGTGGGCACAGAGGACTGATCCTAATTTTTATTTATTATAATTGTTAAATCACTATCTTCGATAAAGTTTTGTCTATCCATTTATGGTGTTTTTTGAATTTATTTACTTCAAAAACCATATTTTCTATGTAAATTATGCTTATTTTTATGTTTTTTTTTTACTACATTAAAATATCATTACAATAAGTTCTTATAGCTAAAACGTAAAGATGAAGTGACTTTGCCGTCACCTGGTGTCTTATTTTGGCTTATTTTAGAATGCTCTAAATTACAGTTTGTCCCATTCATTTCTATGGGTGCCCATTTTTGAGTTTTTTTTTTTTTTGTTCACCCACTTAACATTGTAGAATTGAGTCAAAAAAAAAATGTGTGTGTTCAGGAGGCAAACTTAGGAAAAGTAGCCAAATCTTGTACCGCTCAGATCAAGGGAAGTATTTTTTAAAAATAAATCAAAACTATTTTGCCCACATTTGTCCAGAATACGGTTTTAGGGTTAAAGTGAACATAAACAGTTGAGAAAGAAAACGCACGTGTAACACGATAATGGATCCGTGCGTCTGGTCTTAAAGTGACAGCAGCTTAATAAACCTGCTGCCAAATTATTGAGATCATATTAAAAATATCTATATGGCAGTTTTTCCCCATAGTTTCAATCCCAAAATTAGGCGAGTAACTTTGGAAAAGCGGCTGGTGAACAAAAAAGTTAATGTCAAGCGCTGCTTTAAAGGTGCATTGCGCAACATTTCATGTTAAAAATAGCCGTTTTCTAACCTATACATGCTTAAACACTTGCCTGATGAGCTGAATGAGCCCTTCTCTGATCACTGAGATCGCCTCTATAATCCTGTACAGTGAAATATATAAGAGGGATTCGGGCTCGAATCTGAGACTGGGCGTGGCGTCATGCGCGTTCACGCTCGCCTGGCTATGTCTGGCAGGTTCGTGTAGCTATTCGCCGCCGTTCTCCGTATCAGAGAAGACAACTCGAGCGACACAACTCTAGTCAGCTTTCCACAAAAGTAGACGATGGGTTCAAAGGGGCTGTTTACACCTGGTCACTTCATGTGTTTTCTGTGATCGGATAGCTATTCGATCGTGAAAAGACCAGGGTGTAAATGCCCTCTGAAACGCGTTAGAGACGGATGAATCCGATCGCTCAAACCACTTGAGGACGTGGTCTGGGCCGCATTCCAGACGAAACTGGACAAGTGTAAATGCATCTGGTTGTTGAAACCAAGCTATATGTCATGTTATTTTAGTCATATATGATGACGCGCATCACCTCAGATGAGCAGCTGAGCTGAGCAAGCCAGCGCGCCGCAATCTATCGCAAATCAAAGTGAAAGTAAGTCGCAGACGCTTAACACTACCATCTTCATTAAAAGTAAAGAAATGAATTGATCTTACCGGGCCTGTTGCCGATCTCTCTTATTGCTGTCTTTGCTGATTTTGAAATTAGCCGATGATTAATAAAATCCAGCTCATATCTGTTGCTTTCGGTGACGTGCACTTCATATCTGTATATGGCGCGGAAAGAGACCGGCTTGTAGCTCATTACAAACCCCAACGCAAACTCCGCGTGAGACAAAGAAAATAAAACTTCAGTCTGTCCAGTGCCAGGCGTCGGAATAAGACGAGAGTCGACATCGGGAAGGCTTTCAACAAACGGAGAGATCTCTGGTATGCTCTAGGGCTCAAACGGATCCTGTACAAAGTGATAACTGAACGTGTTTCCATAATAATTCAATCATAAGTGGATACAGTAAGCACAGGGAGATAGATGGAAACAAAAACGGAAGTTTTCTACTACCCCCGTTTCCCCCTCTCACACACATAAGTGTGTAATTTACTCGAATGCCTTTCCTTTCATATACTTTAAATGACTTGCAGATTTATTACTGTATTACCTCATTATGACTGTAACAAAAGATGTGTGCCGCACAGTGTGCGGCTGATGCTCCTTAGTTATGAACAGCTCGTGCAAACGTGCGTATGTGTGTGTGTTCCTCCATGAACGCGCACAGCTCTGGTTGCAGTTTCGCTTGTCGCCAGAGGGGGCGTAGTTCTGCAAAAACTCAGAGACTTGCGTTTAGCTCCTTTAAACTAAATTCCCCAATGTTTTTCAAAGATTGATTGCTACGAACTTTCAGATGCGGTCATTATAGCAGCCTGATAAACACCAATTTGTTTCCCAGCGGAGTTATATAAGCCTACTGAAGATTGTATAAAGCCAGACTGAAGTTTGAAGTTTGCAGAGCTCTCGCCACTCTTGTTTGTAATACGCACCAGTCGGCTCATGGGTGTGCCATGAACTAGGTGCCAAATACTGACAAATAGGTTCAATGGAAAATGTGACAAGTTTGAATCTTCTTTATAAGGAAATGTGGTCATCATATCCCTGATTTAAAGGGACGTAATGGAAAAAATGGTGTCGAATATGCGTTCAGTCAGTAGGGGAAGTTGTGGAAACAGGAGGAAGTGCACAGTCACTGATGAGAGCACTTGCAGCTGGTCAGTGTATCGTTATCTCAGGCGTCTCGAACACGTCTCACACTGAAATCCCTGTTACAGCTCCCTCACGGTCTGTTTCCTCCGCTGAAAAGCTTTCTGTGGTTATCAGTGGCATAAGCGAGAACATTTCCTCCTTTAGTTTGACAATAATGGAGAAACTCTTTAAGATTGCTAAACGGACCTCTGTGATAAACTCAAGAGGGAAACGAAGCAGCAGAATTGCGCACTTTAATGGTTGTTCTCTAATTTTAAGGGATAATATCTATATTTGGACATGTGTTTCCTAATTTTTTCCTATTTGTTTTAACAACTTTACTGATTTTAGAAAAAAAAGCAGATGCAGAAAGAAAGGACAATCAACAACTGCGACAGAAATATTACTTCTTAAAAGGATAGTTCACCCAAAAATATATATTTTTTTTGGCATTATTTACTTATTACCCTCATGTCGCCTCAAACCAGTATGATTTTCTTAAAAATAAAAATGTAAATAAATAAATTAAGTTACACTTTATTTTAAAGGAGTAGTTCACTTTTGAAAAAACTTTTGCTGATAAGTTATTCACCCCCATGTCATCCAAGATGTCCATGTCTTTCTTTCTTCAGTCGAAAAGAAATTAAGGTTTTTGATGAAAACATTCCAGGATTTTCTCCATATAATGGACTTCAATGGGGTCCAAACGGTTCAAGGTTCTAATGAGAGTTTCAGTGCAAACTGCAAACCGTTCAAAGAGGCTTTAAACGATTCCAGACGGTGAATAAGGGTCTTATCAAACGAAACGATCTCTCATTTAAAAAAAAAAGTTTAAGTTTTATAAGCTCAAATGGTCGCCCGTGATGCGTTCGTGACTCTCCTGTTCGAACTCGTTTATCAAAATGAACAAATCTTTTTTCGTGTCATTTGGTTGATTCAATGAACGAAATGAATGAATACTCGGAAAAAGATTCGTTCATATTGATAGGCTTCGCTTTTCAGATTAGAATGTTGCCACTTGCTAGTAACGTGTAACTAACTACATCGCCTTAAAATAAATTTCCATAAACATATGTAAAAAATAATGCTGCTCTTTTCCAAAAACAATAGCATATAACATATTCACTGTTTGATGGTATTCGTCTTCTTTCACTTTCAATGCATGGAAAAGCGCAGCATGAACAAAACATCTAATTTTATGTTACACAGAAAATAAAAAGTCTTACTGGTTTGGAAAGGTGAATAAATTATGACATCATTTTGATTTGCAGGTTAATTAAGAATTCCAAATAATTTATGTTTGGTTTAGACGATTTGACCTTCATTTGTGTTCTTCTCCTTCTGCGTTCCGAAATCCTTCTAAATTAATTTGTTTGTTTTTGAAGTGTTTAGATTTCCCTCTATATATCCTGGTGTTTTGACACAGATGGAGCGCTTAACATCGTTTTACCGTCTTAAATTTCATTTTGATCATTTTTTTGCGGTACTACCTCCCTCTTCTGAGAGTAATTGGTGATGACTGTTGAATAGGGGTCGAGCTGGAAGTGTATTGTGAGAAGACAGTGGCCGTACTTTGTTTGCTGTTCTAGTACTGTACGCTCAGCAGGACCTGTCTAATTACCAACGCCGCGTGAAGTCGTCTGTGTTGATGTGACCCGTCTTCACTCGGCGGAGGTCAGGCCAGAACGTCTCCCTTGGCCAGTTCAGCTTTCCATCATGCCGAGTGTGAACTTGCGCTCGCCTCTTGTTTTATAGTAGGTCCTGTTGGCCCGGTGTTTGTCTTGCAACCCAAACCATCTGCAGCGGTGAATTGGTTTCAGAAGCTCCATGGCCTCAGTCAGGTGGCCCCGGGGCCCCTCTGGTGAAGAAACACACTCACTGTAATTAGATAAACCTTGGATTGTCCTTTTATTAGATTGAGGCAGGTGAAGCGAAGACCTTCAAATTGGAGTCTCGGAAAAACAATACGAGTTACTGAAGCGCTAAATGACGTGGCCGAGAGAGAGAGATAGAGAAACAGTCTGGCTGGAAATGAAGTTTATTTTAGAGAGACTCAGCCAATACATACATCATTTGAGATTTGTTAATGTTTCAGTTTAATAACACACAGACCAGAGCGTGGTGACTTCATAAAAACACCTCTTTCCTTCCTGTATGCCATGGTGGAATACAATTACTGAAACAGTAGTGACAAAACACGGGGCAGATTTAGAGAAAAAAAATTCAATATATATATTTATCAAAAATAAATAAATATATATATATAAATACATAACAAAAATATATATTTATCAAAATGATAAAACAATAGATACAATTGTATCTTGTTGTATCTTGTATCTTGTTGAGCATGTTCATCTACACTATTGTTAAAAAGTTGGGGTTAGTAAGATTTTATTAAGAAATTAATACTTTTATTCAGCATTCAATTAATCAAAATTGAGAGTAAAGTCATTAATATTGTTACAAAGATTTCTATTTCAAATTGTTGCTTTTATTTTGAACTTTCTATCCATCAAAGAATCCTGAAAAAAAGTATCACGGTTTTCATAAAAGTATTAAGCAGCACAAATATTTTCAATATTGATATTAATGATAAATGTTTCTTGAGCAGCAAATCATCATATTAGAGTGATTTCTGAAGGATCATGTGACTCTGAAGACTGGAGTAATGATGCTGAAAATACAGCTTAGGAATCGCACAGGAATATATTAACATACATTTTAATATACGTAAACTGTTATTTTTACCTTAAAATTACGTTTTTTCTGTATTTTTGATTAAATAAATGTCGGTGAGCATAAATCTTACTGACCTCGACGATCAATCTACTGAAATAAAACCAGAGATAAACTTGCAAAATAAAATAATAGGATAAAACGACAAACATTTTATGTCACATGATCCGCAGGGCCCTGCTCACTCCTGCTCACAGATGGCTGATGGGTAAACACGTGCACTCCTCTTCTCTGTAGGAGCACTTACTGTTTGTTTGGCGATGCTTCGCAGTTTAGGAAATAGAGGTCCTTTATGAACTCAAGTTGTCCTGGGGTTTTCCTGTTAGTGCTTTGAGGATGTTGTGTCGGAGAGTTGCTTATTTAAGTCCACTTGATAAAGACAAAGGGTACGTCTCCTCACTGACCAGACTGAAGAAAAAGTGCTGAGCAAGAGGGAGACGACTGTATAAATAATGTTGAACTATTCTTGCCACATATCGTACAGTATGTGAGGGATCTTATGCCATTTTTTCAATGGACAAAACATTATCCATCTATAACATTGTAGCATTTTGAGTCTGATATATTAAAGGGATATTTCACCCCAAAATCTCTGTCAGTAATGACTCTCCCTCATGTTGTTCAACCCCGTAAGACTTTCGTTCATCTTCAGAACAGAAATTAAGATATTTTTGATTAAATCTGAGAGCTGGATCACTCCTCCATAGGATTGAAACTTGCCGACCCAGAAAAGTTATTAAAGACATCGTCAAAATAGTCTGAGTGACTACAGCGGCTCAATCTTAAAGGTATACTCCACTTTTTTTTGGGAAAAAGTCTCATTTTGCAACTCCCCCAGAGTTAAACAGTTGAGTTTTACCGTTTTCGAATATATTCAGCCGAGTTTTTGATATTTAGAAGAATATCAGTAACCAGACAGTTTCTGGTCTCATTTCCATAGTATATTTGTTTCCTACTATGGAAGTCAATGAGACCAGAAACTGTCTGGTTACTGATATTCTTCTAAATATCAGAAAAGCGGCTGAATGGATTTGAAAACGGTAAAACTCAACTGGTAAAATGAGCCTATTTCCAAAAAAGTGAAGTATCCCTTTAAGTTAATCAAGCGAAGAGAATACTTTTTGTGCGCAAAAAAACAAACAAAAATAATGACTTTATTCAACTATTTATTTCCTTTAAATCTGGCTTAGATGTCTAACAATTCCAATAGGTTTTGATAAACTGTAAACATGATCATTTTTGGGCACAAATGGAGATATTTGTGTGGGAAAATGTTAGTGAACACAGAACAAATTTTGTGACGTTCAGGCCAGGGTTAAGAATGTATTGAAGAAAGTTCAAAAGAATAACATTTATTTGAAATATAATACTTTTGTACCTCATAAATGTCTTTTCTGCCATTTTTGTTCAGTTAAATGCATCCTTGCTGAATAAAAGTATTAATTTCTTTATTTATTTTTTTATTGTATGACTCCCAAATTTACATCAGATTGCATGAGACACATTTGTATATCTGTGCCTAATAATATTTTGGGGAACTACAGGCCAAAAAATGTAAAAATGCTTGATCTGGTGCGGATATGGACCACAGACCGCAAATTGAGCAGCACTGAATGCTCTTGAACTCAGAAATGATTAACAGGCCACATTTAGTCCGCAGGCCGGCAGTTGAGGTGCCCTGTTGTACATTAGCAACACTCAAATCTGCATGGGGAACCCGGGGTGTTCGTGTAAACGCTCCAAACCAGTGCAAAACGTGAGGCCAAAGCCTCAAGCTCTTCCCCAGAGAGCTCCCAAACGCATAAAAAATGAGTTTTGCATACAGTCCCAGGCTTCCCTGCACCCCCCTCATCTACTTTTGACTATTTATTGATGTATTTTCTCCGGCAGCAGTTCTTGTTATTGCTGCAACCTCGCTAAGAATAGCTCTAGTGTAAACTGAAGAATGGGGAACACGTGCAAGTCCTCACGTGCTGAAGATCCCAGAGTTAAGCGCTCGTCCTCTGCATTGTTCCAGCAGCGTGAGGCCGTCTGGTTGATCAGTGGCCCTGATGGATTACTGTGTTTTACCTTCTCATCTCTGTGAAATGACAGCTTTGTGAACTCTCGCTGTAGGAACGCTCACCCCTCGCAGAGTCCAAACTCAGCTGTTTACACGAACCAGCCGGCGCTGCTCTGCTGTGTTTAGAAGAAGCTCTCAACTCTCTCTGGCCATTGTCCCTGTTACTGTTCTCCTAGTGTACAACACATGAGACTACAGTTATTTATGGGTTAGTCAGGTCAAGTTAAAAAAAAATTATATATACCCCTGCCTTTAATGTTAGAAATCAGGGAAACGACAGTATTAAATGTAAAATTCATGAGTCGTGAAACCTAACTTTATGACAACTGTCAACCTCGGAGTAGTTCACTTTTAAAATAACTTTTGCTGATAATTTACTCACCCACATGTCATCCAAGATGTCCATGTCTTTCAATCATCAGTCGAAAATAAATTAAGGTTTTTGATGAAAACATTCCAGGATTTTCTCCATATAATGGACTTCAATGGGGTCCAAACGGTTCAAGGTCCTAATGACAGTTTCAGTGCAAACTGCAAACTGTTCAAAGGGGCTTTAAACGATTCCAGACGATGAATAAGGGAAAAGGGAAAAATCTTATCAAGCGAAAAGATCACTCATTTAAAAAAAACAAAAGTTTAATTTTTATAAGCTCAAATGGTCGCCTGTGATGCACGTTCGTGACTGTCCTGTTCGAACTCGTTTTTTTTTTCCATGTCATTTGGTTGATTCAGTGAACGAAATGAATGAATTGACTCAGAAAAAGATTCGTTCATATTGATGAACAAGTTCGAACAGGAGAGTCACGAACGTGTGGACCTTGAACCGCTTGGTTCCCATTAAAGTCCATTATATGGAGAAAAATCCTGGAATGTTTTCATCAAAAGCCTTAATTTCTTTTCGACTGAAGAAAGACATGGACATCTTGGATGACAAAAGTTTTTTTTAAAAGTGAACTACTCCAATATAGTTCAGTGATGATTTAATTCGGTTCAATAACAGTGTTAATGTTGCAAAGTTCATCAGTTATGAAATGAACACATTTTTTATCTGTCAGAACACAATAGTGTCATTATTCGACTCAAGTCAGGTTAGTGTTAATTCATTTCAGTTCAATAAGTCGATGTTGCAAAGTTAGTATTATTATTGAGCTCAGTTCAGTTCACATTTTGTTCTCTTCTGATAGTCAGTGCAGTTAAATCACTGATATTCCTGAATGTTAATTATTTTAAACCCCAAAAAGTTAGTGCATAACATTTTTTCCTAGTGTTTTATATGATCTTTTTTGTATCTTAAGTTAACCATGTATGTGTTATATTGTCCCGAGACTGACTTCAATATCCATCTCGTAGCATGTTCCTTGCAGTGTTCACATTTGCGAGACACGTTTTGACTGGTTGTAGATGCAAATGTTAAACCAGTTGCATGCTTGAAATTGCAAGAGCTAAACATAAACAAATAAAAATGTTCCTCCAACTGTCTTTCTGCAGAACTAAATTCTAGATCTGAACATAATTGTCATGCATATTGAGTCCAGCTTGCAAGAGTTTAATTTGATCAATGGTAAACCATTTGCCTTCTGAACGTTTGCCTGGGAATCAGTGATTTCTTTGGATGTTTTTTAAGGCATGCTTTGTAGGAAGGCACTGCGGTTGCCGAGACTTTCTGCTGGGGTCCGTACCAATTAGTACAGCTTTTGAAGAGTTTGACTGGTTATTCTCACTGTCATTTCTGTTTTCTCTCTCTGTTTCGGCTCCAGGAAGAGAAGGGCATCTCCTGTATGCTGGTAGAGCTGGACTTCCTCAAGTGCAGCATTGGATTTCCTTTCATGAGGGCACAAACCAAGGTAGTACGACAGGAGCGTCAGCTTAACAGCTTAATGATCTACTTAACCCTCAGGTGCTCTTTGGTCATTTCTGACCGAAAAATTTTCTGTTTTGAATTTCTAAAAATCACAGCTTCATCGGAATGTTATGAAACTTGGTGACTTTTATGGCATTATGTATGTGAATACACAAAAAAAATTTAGGTCATGATCCAAGCATGCTAAGTGGTCTTAAAAAAAATAGTCACACTTGTGGTCTTCGGTCAAAAATGACCCCCATAGGAAATGAATGGGAAATTGACAAAAAAAAAATTTCTCTGAATTTTTGTACGTGCAATCTACAAATCGGCCACAATTCTAAAAAAAAGTACACCGCAGGAAAGGGGTGACACTCTACAACATCTAGAGTGCAAAACAGACAAACCCTCCCACACACACACACACACATACAAACACACTTTTAAACACATACACACCAATAAATTTTGATTACAAAAAGTATGTTTTGAATTTTTAAAAATCACAGCTTCATCGCGATGTTACGAAACTTGGTCACTTTTTTGGCATTATGTATGTGAACACACAAAAAAAATTAAGGTCATGGTCTGAGCATGCTAAGTGGTCTTAAAAAATAGTCACACTTGTGGTCTTTGGTCAAAAATGACCCCCATAGGAAATGAATGGGAAATTGACAAAAACACAAAAATTCACCTTTTTCTTATTTATTTGTTTACATTTTTTAATAAAAAAATTTTTTTTGAGATTGTTTCAACTATATATTCAAATCCACCAAAAAAAAAAAAATGTGTTCATAAACATCTGGGGAATTCACATGCTTCTCCATAGAGAGCTGTACATGCCATCTAGTGGTTACACCATGATTCTACGCTTTTTATCTATACTGTAACCAGATGGTTCAAATTTTCTTCAAAAAATATTCTTTTTCTGAAGGCCTAGACTCTATATTAAACTAAAATACTTCATTAATAATTTTTTGAAAAAAATAATAATATATATAGAAAAATATATATATATATTTCCATGGCAAAAATAGACCATAAATATTGCACAAATATTAATAAATTCAATCAAATTGTCTCAAAATACTAAATTACAAAGAATAAATATTATAGAACAAAAATAAATTGCATTGGTTTTACTGGGATGGAGGAAATTTAATTTTTAGGTGTCCGGTCACTTTTGACCGGGAAGATAACAAGAGTGACTCCGAAACGAAGAGCACCTGAGGGTTAATTATAGTGCAATTCCATTTAACCTTATAGTTTTAACCTTTTTTTCCCCCAGTATCATCTATCTGTGCTTTTTGACACGAGTCATCTATCTGGTGAAAATGAGACACTGCTGTTTATAGTACACACTAAAAGGTGAGCTTTGAACAGATTTAATGAACTTCCCCCTTTAAAAGTGTATGCTTTATTTGTATGATTAAAATACACATGGTTCACATCATCAGTCCACATTAGTTAATGTCTGTGATGTTTATATTTGAAACAACTAGATAGATTAGACATTTGGACTTTTCACTATTTGGCTCATTTGTGAGAAATTAAGTGGTTTTGCTTGATATTGAAGTCATGATATGAATCTAATGCTGGCCAGATGTGTTTTTTCTTTGCTCAGAGAAGTGCATTACACACTAAGTGGAAAAGACTTGCACTCTGTGAAGCAAATAAAACTATCATAATGCATATTTTGTGATCTCACAGTGGAAACGATCAATAAGCATGCTGAAAACATTTGGAATCTGTAAGATGTTTTTGAAAGAAGCAAAATACAGTAAAACAATAATTTTCTCAATATTTTAAAAGTATTTTTAAATATATTTGAAAATATTATTTATTCCTGTGATCAAAGCTGAATTTTCAGCATCATTACTCCAGTCTTCAGTGTCACATGATCCTTCAGAAATCACTCTAATATGATCCTCAAGAAACATTTCTGATTATGATCAACATTGAAAATAATTGTGCTGCTTCATAATTTCTTTTGGAAACCTTCAATAGATGAATAGAAAGTGAATAGATGAATAGAAACCTTTTGTAACATTATAATTGTCTTTACTGTCACTTTTGATCAATTTAATGCAAAAAAAAATCGTACTTACCCCATACTAAACTACTGTATATATGAGCAATATCACACTCTATATCAGCACGGCTGTGATGCGTTCAATGAAGTAATTCAGCATTGCCTCATTTCTCGTTCTAAAGTGACAAATCTGTATTAGTAACAGAGGCTTGGGCTCAATTTTTAATCTGTGTATTTAAATAATTGTCTTGGTTGAATATTATTGTTTTTTTTTATTTCTAAGTGCCAATCCAGAACATAATAGCACTCTTCATGATAACACACTGGAGTTGTCCATACCACTGGTACATGAGGTGGACACAGCAATCACTGGGTAAGATTTACACTTCACAAGCTTAAAGGAAAACTTTACGTGCTTATTTATTCACCCTCATGTTGTTCAAAACCTGTATGACTCTCTGTGGTTTGTCAAACAAATCTCTATAAGACTAAATATTGTATCCATATTCTGAAGCTAAATGATAACTGATTGCTAATTGAATGCATAAAACCAGATTGAGATTACTTCACAACACCTCCCTTGGGTTTTTTTGGTGGGGGAAAGATCTATTCATACAGGCTTTTAACACGAGAGTAAGTACATGTACACTGTTTTTGGTCATCTATTCTTGTAACAGCTTTGTAGTCCATCACGCTCCAGACATCTGAGAACACCAGAGACATCTGTGGTCCGCTCAGTGTTTACTTCTTATGTGCACATTTCTTTTTTGGCTCCTGTTTCTTTACACTGCTGGAGTATTTCAAAGTTAAAGGCTCACAGACGCTTGTTTCACAGAGATGAATGATGCTTAAATACACAACATGCTCTTCAGCAAGATGTACAGCCTGATAATGTGAACGTCCTCCCTGTAATGTTTTAGATTAGCCCGCCAGAGACTACACTTTCATATATAAACACCAACTCCAGAGGTTCGACGTAAAGCCAGATCAAAGTCTCCTTTATGTCATTTAGCAGGTTAAATTCATATGTATAAGAAGGTTTCTTATGAGGTACATATAGACAAACCTATGCAATACTCTTCTGGCATGGAGTATTTTCCAGGTGTTTGAACTATAAAAGCTGCAATGTTTTAATAAAATTAAGTCTTTCTGACAGCAGCACATTTACATTATATTATTGATCAAAGCTACAATCCAATGAATCACATTAAAGGGCTCCTATTATGTTTTTTTTTTATATATATATATATGTTCATCTTTCTTTAGTGTGTAATGTTGAAAAAGGTTTCCTCCAGCAGGAGTTCTTCTCTATATCACTGTCAGTGTTTCTGAACTCCTGAAACAATCTAGTCTTGAGTTTCTTTCGGGAACGAACACGTCACAATAGTCCTCATTTGAATAATTAATATGCATAATAAAGGGGCGGGGCCTGGTTGAGTTAGTTATAGTGTGTTGAAACTGGCGGGACATTTCCCAGTCACACTCAAAGCGCTTGACCAATCACAGCACACTGCTCCAGCCAACCAATCAGAGCACAGTGTGCTTTCAGAAGGCGGGGCTTCATAGAGACAGGAACTAAACAGAGCATTACTGACAGACTGGGAAGAGAGGAGCCGCATCAATGGAGATTATGTGAAAAATAATGTGTTTTTAACATTCATGCATGAGCCCAAAAACAAAATCAAGACTTTGTCCATAATATTAAAGCACAATGGTGTTTGCTATATAACTGTGTGTCCGTTTCTGCAGTGTGGTCAACCCTACGTCTTTTGTGTATGGAAACTCAGTCGACCGATCACGCTTCCTTCGGCTGGAAGACATGGAGTGCAGCTTTCAGCCGCTCAACTTCACCTTTCAGGTATCCCATGTGTTCATAAGCTGTTCAGATGTGACGTTTTTCTGTACATTTTATTGTAGACTCTGACTTTAATGAACCAGCAGTGTGATGTGTACTCTGAAGGGGTTTATTTTATGATAATGACTGGTTAGCTGTATGCTATCACACTTGCATGATTACTTCCCAAGTAAATAAAGATATGAAATATTATTTTGTGTTTCAATGAAAGTACTAGAGTTATCAGGGGATAATTTTTTTTTAATAATCTCAATCTGTTTAGTTATTGACAGATTGACAGATAATATCTGTTGCTCCCCCTTCCCTATTTGTTTGTTTGAATGGATATTATATTGTTATATCCTAAAGACAATAAAAACCCCTTTCACAGATTGTGATGCCTTTCCACAGTTTTTAACATTGCAAATCTAGAAAAGATTTTTGTATTTTCATTTATTAAAAACCAATTTCATTTTCAGCTGCTACTCTATAGAAGTCAATAGTGTCATTATTCAGCTTAATTTACTTCATTGTGATTCAGTTTTATAGTTATATTGAGGGTAACATTAAACATACATAAGTTTTGTGGCAAAACTTACCTGCCCAGTAAACATCAATTAAAACTCAAAGGAAACGCAGAAAAATAACAAAACACAATTCTTTGGTCTTTTTCGGTGCTAAATGAGTGTTTCTAATACAACTGCTGAGAGAGATGGCAATTTTGTCGTCTTTCTCTCTCTTCTCTCTCTTCTCTTTTGGAAAGTCATTGCAGCGCTATCATGATTTTTTTCTTTTGTCATTGGGTCAAATTTACCCAACTATAACAACTTCCGCTTCAGAAAACTCTGGAAATGGGTAGTATCATTATGCAAAATAATGTGACTTTAAAATGTCCAGTCCAGAACCAAGCTGCATTATAATGTGCCTTAAATGAATATGAAGTGCACTGGTTGCTATGATTGGTTAGCAGTTAGTTGTTGTGCTAAGCATAGATCCCAGTTTAAATCTGTTTCCCATGTGCTGTTTGTGTAGGTGATAAACAATGGGCCCAGCAGACTTCCAGGCTCCACGATGGACATCAGGATACCCAACCGCCTGGCTGGGAACGGACCAGATATGTTCCATATCATTGACACACAAGTGAGTTCCTGCCACTGATGCTTTTGTTTGTTTAGCCAGACTTCATTCTCAGAAATGTCATTTGTTAGTGCTGTAAGCTGTTCTTCAGGTATTTTGTGGCATTGTTGATTTTTGATTGGCTGACAAAGTCTCAGAGGGTTCACACATTCATTCATTCATTCATTCATAATTTCTTTATTTCTTTCATGTGGAGCAGATTTCATTAGAAACCAAAATCAACACAAATTGCGTCACATTTGCATTGCCGCCTTGATTTATAATCATTATTCCTCTTTATTCCTTTAAGCATTTTGCCACGTTATTTCTGAATCAGTTAGACGCTTTTGAAATGATTTCGCAGTCTTGATGACGGTTAATTGGCAGCGTAAGAACGGACTTTTAGAGAGCGTTTAAGGGACAAAACAATCTTGGAAAATGTCTTGATGTATAAGTACACTGTAAAAAAATATTGATGGTTTAACTTAAAAAAGTAAGTAACCTGGTTGCCTTAAAATTTTAAGTTCATTGAACTGGAAAAAGTGAGTTAATACAATGAAGGAGATTAATTGAACCATCAGAAACTCAAAATTATATTTTATCTGAACTAAATAAATTATTTAAGTTGATTTGACAAAAGAAAATATGTTGTTATTACTACACTGTAAAAAAATATTGTTGGTTTAACTTAAAAAAGTAAGTAACCTGGGTTGCCTTAATTTTAAGTTGATTGAACTGGAAAAAGTGAGTTAATACAATGAAGTAGATTCATTTAACCATCAGGAAGTCAAAATAATAAGTTATATCAATTAAATAAATTATTATAAAGTTGATTTGACTAAAGAAAATATGTTGTAATAACAAATCTTGAAAATATTTTTTACAGTGTAGAACAAATCATCCTTGATTGTTGCATTATGCCTTTATTACATCCATTCAATTTTCAATAATTCAACAGTCCATAGTCAATTTTGCCTTACTTATATTACTTGTAAAACATTGTTTCTACTTAAGGTTAAGTATGAGATTACATATGCTTTATTTACCTTATAAAGTACTTCATAAATGCCACGGTTGATGTTTCAGCTAAATATACCGAGCTAGGCTTTTTCTATATTGTATCTATAGAAATTAGAGCGGCGTGTTGATTATGTTCTTTTCACACACAGTGCGGAGTTTAGAGAGGTCAACATACTCAGGCTTATAGTTCATTTAGAGTTGATAGACAAGGGTTACTGAGCTGAGCCTAAGTTAGACTCACAACAAGCTTCATATCGAAGCACCACATCCAAATGTTGATTTAACCCTTCCAGCGGCCATATTACTAGATCAGGCAGGGGATCAACCTGTGTACTGTGAATGGGAGGACAGGGGAGGTTTGTATCCCACCCTGTACACCCCATATGGAATCACTTACAAGGGATTAGACGGCTTGCACGAAAGGGTGGAATGGGACACTTGGGGAAAAGCTTCTGTTCACCCTGACTAACCTGTAGCACAGTGGCAATGCCGGGTGGACGTTCCCAGGCGCCCACATGGACACTCGGCCTAATTAAAAATGCACACGTGGAGGAATTCCACTGCTCTCATGGCTGAAAACATATGGGCCGTTTTTACATAAACATTTTGGGCTGGTCCCTCGATGCTGAGGAGATGTTTTACATTAGTGAGGGTTACGTGACATAGCTTCTACCTTTCATAGCCACAAACATACTTTAACCCTGCTTTTGTGTTCGGGTCAATTTGACCCGCATTTAAACTGCTTCAAACACTGGTTAAATTATTTATTTATGACTTTTTCCACATTCAGGGTCATGAATGTGCACGTCACGACACATAGACTGTAAAAACTCTTTTTGATAAGTTATTTTTGTTAGTTTTATAAGAAAACAGTTTAGTCATTCTACTTCAAAATGTAATGTTTAATCTAATATGTTACTTGCCGTTTCTTTGTAAAAAAAACTATTTTTTTAAACCCTTTCACACAAATTATGATTACAATGGGAGAATGTCTATTAATACAGGATTATTTCCGCACTGTTTCTTGCATAATACTGTTATGACCTCACAACTCTTTTACCATAGTACATGATTTGTAAACTAATACATTTTGAAGTTTGCATCACATAATCGGCTCCATATGTGTGACTTTTCTAACAAAGTCATTGTTTGATAGCTCACTTGGTACAGCATTGCACTTGTGAAACACTAATCACAAAAAAAAGAGTTGAAATATTTGTAGAAGCACATGGTCCCTTCTGCAATAGAGCTGAAGCGATAGACCATCAATCTTTTACCATTTCATTTCCGAACTGCCGCGATGCATAATAACATGATAAAATGTTGCCAGATTCATTTTCATCTGGTTCGGATAAAAACTAAATGCACATTTAGCGGCACTCACTGGACATTTAACAATTCAAACAGGCAAGAAGCAATTTTTTGCAGTAATGTCGCTTGGGTTGTATATTTCTTAAAGCACTGTCAAGGGAGGAAAGTCACTAGGTTTTGAAACGGTATTGTAGTGAAAATCAGCCCGGGAGAGTAAATGACACACTGTAAGTCATACATGAAACAGGCTGAGATCCAATTTCTTTGACTTGAGAGAAGACAATGTGAGGTCTTTAGATGCTTTGCTCTATGGAGGTCTGACTGGAAAGGATGCGAATTAAAGAGAGAGGTGAAGTGTTCCCCGGGGCCAGAGGGGTGGAAGGGGCAGCAGGACATTAAATCACTCCAGATGGGACGCGCTGTCAGAGAAAGGCTTCTGAACTCCCACTGGGAAAGAACTTCCTTTCGTTATCTGAATCACTTAGCAGGTCTGAGCTCACTGTATGAATTACAATATCGGCACATCACCTTTCAATAATCCGACCCAACCATGGGCAAATGAAATATAATATAAAATATAAATGGACTTATTTTGATATGTTGTTTATTAGGGCTGGGTAATAAATATCGATTTCTCGATATTAATCGATTCTCATTTTTACGAACCGATATCGATTCTTAAATCTCAACAATCGATTAGTCATCCTGTTTCATTTGAATGAATGGGACATTGTATCGCGGCTGCGCGCATCCAAAAAATCACAATAATCTTTGTCCTTTGTTACTATTGATATGAAACAAAGTCTCAATTTTCAAATTACGTCCATTTTCTTTAGAAACTCAAAAACATAAATAGTGTTTTGGCGCTGTGGCGTGAGATCGCTCTGGAGAAGCAGCAGCGCTGATCTCTCTTCCGGGTTAATAATACCAGTCACAGCGCCAAATAAACATGAATGAGCGTCTGAAAGTGTGTTAAAAGATAGAGTACAACTTATCGAAATCCGTATCATGTCACATTGATTCGCTCAATCAGTGTTTCAACCGCGGAAAGACGTCCGTTAAACAGCTTGTAATCAATGTCATGTTTACCTCAGAAAACCCACATCAACTCGTTAGTCAGCTAGAAAAATAACTCCAGAGAGGAGCATTTTGCTAAATATATACACCATATTACATATGCATTATAATCTAAATGTTCTTCAATATTTAATGCATATTTTAATAAATCTGGCAAGTTTTAATGACAGCCACCATTTAAATGTTTATATTTCATATAATCTTCTTATTATAAAAATAAATAAAAGTGTAATTTAAGTGTTTGTATAGCTACAAAACAGTTCATTATTACCTTCATATTAGGCTAATGAAGCCTATTGGCTACAACTAGACTCCCATAGTTTACAGCATTTAAGAGATTTGATTCCCTTGAGAAAAATGGCCATTTACTGTAACTGATATCCAAAATAATCGATATTGAATCGAATCATAATCGAAATCCAATCGAATTGCAAGCTTGTGAATCGAAATCGAATCGAATTGTGAAATTTGTCTCAATACCCAGCCCTATTGTTTATGGACATATTCTATTGATGATGGCAGCAGTAATTGAACAAGTACGGTAGAGTAAAGTGTGTTTAAGCCTCTAACGGAACTGTAAGCAGGTTTATTATACAGTAGGTTACTAAGTAGTATGCTAAAGTAACACTAGTTGTGAGATTCTCCCACAATGAATTTGATCTTGTTTAGGTATCAGACGGTCGAGGGAACTGCACGTGGCACAAGAACCCCAAACCCTGCACAATCCCACAGGACAAGGAGAGCATCTTCCACACCATTTTTGCCTTCTTCACCAAATCCGGAAGAAAAGTTCTGGTAAGACAAAGGACTTATTGGGAAAAACCTCAATGCGTTTGGAAATAAGCCATATTTGCATATTTAATGTTGTTTGACAGCCCTTTTTGTCGACGCATTTGCATTAGTGCAGTGGATCACAGCCCAAAAACACTCTCCTCGTTTCACATCAGTTTTTGTGCTGAACGGGTGAATCTTTGATGGTGTTTTGTGTCAGCAGGACTGCGACCGGCCTGGCAGAGCGTGTCTAACTATTTCCTGCAGTCTGGGCTCTCAGGCTAAAGAAGAGGCCACAAGTATAGATGTGCAAATACTACTGAACACTGAAATACTACAGAGGGTGAGTAATTGGCCTAATAATGCCCTAATCATTAAAAACTTATTCTCAATGCAAGTCATGAGAGTGTGGAAAATTCAAAGTTTAAAAGTCGCAGAATTTATATGACTCATCATTTAAAGTAGTTAAACTACAGTCAGACTACCATAAATGTGTTTCAAATCGGCATTTTAGAAAGATTTCTTAATGTGACACTGAAGACTGGATTAATTATGCCAAAAAATCAGTTTATATGTAATATACAACTAATAAAGCGGAAACAGTGATCAAAAACAGTGCTAAACAACCACAATATTCGGTAACACTTTATTTGAAGGGGTGTGCATAAGACTAACATGACACCTTCATAATCATGACATGACATATGCTTTATGCATGTTTGTGACAACTGTCATTAAGTGTCATTCGCTCGGTTATGACATTTTTATGCAAATATGACATTGTGTGAGATGTCTTTCTTATGACACCTTGACATAAACCAATACATCATAACCTGTCAGTGTCTTTGTCATGACAACTTGACATTACTAAGACGAAACAACCTGCCATAAACATGACAGCAGATTAATGATCAAACTTAAGAAACCACCTGGTTTTGGTTGGTTTTGACATGGGCTTTCATGAAGCCATTATAACGTTTTAATGACAAATTCAATTAGTACCACTGTAGTTGATTAACCAAATGACAGTTTAACTTAATTTAATGTCAAGTTGTCATGACAAAGACATCTTAAACAATGTCATATTAGCATTCAAAATGTCATTATTGAGCGAAAGACACTTAATGACAGTTGTCATAAACCCTTCTTCATGTTCAAGACATATGTCATGGCATGTCAGTCTTATGCACACCCCTTCAAGTAAAGTGTTACCCAATATTTTGCAACAAAATAGACATGGTAACTGGAACAATTGAGCAGTGCCTTTACATTTATACAGTAAATTAGGCGGATGCATCTTTGTGCGTGTCTGTAAATGTGTCTGTCTTTCTGTGTGGTTTGCAGGACAGCTCCTCTGTGATCCAGTTTGTGACACGAGGTCACGTCCAGCTGGACGACAGGGCCGTGGAGGTCTCCACCGGACTTCCAGAGGAGATTTCTGTAAGTGATCAAACGGATGAATTATCCAATCCAACATTTCTTGCCAAGCATATTTGTACCATTACTGTAAACTACACTCAAGACCCAAGCCGGCATGCTAGTGGTTTTCATTGTGCGATTGAAACCGGTATGATTATTGTCTTTGAAACCGATCAGGACCCCTAATGCACGCAAGAGAATTAAATTGTCCGTTTGCATGACTCGGAGCTCATCAACTCGTAGTAGTTTGCTGTTCATATGGGAGTAGGAGGCTTTTTTTACTCTACAGCTGTGCTGAGGAACAGTCGCCTCTAACACTGCAGACCTCGGCGTGCCGATTGATTGGAGGAATATGGGACGTGTTTCAGTGGAGCCGATGGTGTCTGGTGCCATGGCATCTCACTCAGCTGATTGGGTTTCTGACCCGGTTTCAACCAGTGTAGTGGCCAATTCCTAATAGGGATGTTTAATGGGCCTGTGCCCCTTCTGCACTCGGCACTTAGGAAACGCATCAGTCCCAGAGCAATCTTTTATTAAGTTGCACGAGACAGTCCCTCGGGCAAATGGTGGACAAACAACTGTCATTTAGAAATTGCATTAATACCACACAGTCCAACATGTTCACAGCCACCTAGACAAATTGGAAATGACAGACCGATTGTGATCGCTAAACCTTTAAACACTGTAAAAAAAATATTGTTGGTTTAACTTAAAAAAATGAAGTAACCCTGTTGCCTTAAAAAAATTGTAAGTTGATTGAACTGAAAAAAGTGAGTTAATACAATGAAGGAGATCGATTTAATCATCAGAAACTCAAAATAATAAGCTATCTGAACTAAATCAATTATTTAAGTTGATTTGACAAAAGAAAAAATGTGATAACAAATCTTGAAAATATTTTTTTTACAGTGAATGCTACTGTATCTTTACTTTAGTGTTCGACTGAGTCAGCTGAACTCGACAAATGCTTTAGGTGTGATATTTATATCTTACCCTTTGGTTTCCATTGTTTGTCAAGATTAGAAGTGGTATAGTACTGTTTATCTCATAGACAGCATTGCTCTGTCATACTGTCTCAGGATCGACTTCACCTCAGAAGCTCCTAAAAGTAAGTAAATAATGCTGGGGGGAAATAAATTTAAATAAAAGTTTATAGTTTCAGAAGAGATAACATGTGAGATACTGGGGTGTCAGGAGGAGAAACATCAGAGAAGCAGGAAACTTTCATTACTGCCTTAGAAGAAACATCTGAGATATTAAAGAGATCTGATTTGTGATTTAACATGACTGCAGGCTGGAAAGTGTGGCCTTTTATTTCGGCCCTCATATTCAAGGAGTGAAATTGTGGCCAGAAGCTGAAGCCAGATTTATCTGGGCTGGCATCTCTCTCCAGACTGGGATTTTCTGCTAGCTTTTCATGCAACATTTACATCCAGATCCATTGAAGGAACTGTTGCTCTCGCTGTGTTTTGGTGGAAGTACGCTTGGTTTTCAAAGGTGAAATTCTTCCACATTTTACGGTCAGCAAGCACGAATGCCATATAACACATATTGTGCATAAAACTGTGTATATATGCGTTTCAAGTGTTATTTAGAAGGATAGCTCATCCTTAGCTAATGGGCCGGTTTCACACAGCTGTTTTAGACCGGTCTATAGTGTAAGTCTAAAATTTGCTCATAGACTAGTCTAATGCAAGATCAGACTGTTTCACAAAAATATTGGCTAACCCTTAGGTCTCAGACTCTGTTACCATGGCAACCAGCAGTAAAAATGGCCCTTACCATATATATTCATCACCATTTCAGTGGTGTCTTTAAGTTTCTCTTGGGGTCATCCTCTCGTTTTTGGATATTTTCTCTTGAATATTTATTTTTTGGCATCTTTTGCTATGTTTTTGTATCTTTTCTGTACGTCTCCACTCAACAGTCGGATTAACGCTGTTAACCGTCATAGCAATCTTTGTCCAAATGAAACATTTCTTCTTGTTACTACATTCTTTCCTAAGTAAAATGTCCTTGTAACTGTTACACTCCTGTTATTAACTGTTATAATAATGTAAACTGCACTGAGCGGTTGAATGCGCTTACTCGATCCACCATGTTCTATGTTTTGAAAAGTGTCTTATTTTACCCAGAATGCATTGCAGCGTAGTCCTACTTAAGATAGTCAGAGTCTTAAGTGCTTTGTGCAACGGTCTGATCTGAAGTCTGACTATCTACTATATCTAAGCCATAGTCTCTTTGCCCCAGTTGTAAATAAATGATCTCTTACTGACATTCTGCAATGATCTGGATGAAATGAAATCCTTGTGTTTGATTTATTTGTTGACTTGAAATCTCATTTCCCTTTGATTGAGTCGATGCCTTAATATACCGTTGACTCACAGACATTATAACATTCAGGAAATTACACACTCATTCATACAGTCTATAAAATCAGATCTTTGGTCCCACTGAGAATGGCGTTCTCTAATATGTTTATTTAACTCTGTGAGGTTATGACGGGCTCTGCTGAACGTTGTGTGTGTGTGTGTGTTCACTCTCTTGCAGCTGGTGTTTGAGGCTCTTCACAGTCAGGAGCCCAGGGGTTACGTGGTGGGATGGATCATTGCCATCAGTCTGCTGGTTGGGATCCTCATCTTTCTGCTTCTCGCTGTGCTGCTCTGGAAGGTACCGCTTTACACAACACATGTTCCTGGATCAACATCCATGTTGGTTCTGGAGAAAATATTCGAGGTTGCTGTTGGATTTAGGGGCTTGAATAACATTCTTATCAGCCTAGCATTTCTCTCTGATTTTAGGAGTACTGTAGGATTAGATTTAGGGTTGGCAGGAGTGCACCAAACATTTAACATGTTTAGATATTTAACCACCCACACTTTTTGGGAAATAACCCTATTTCATGAGTTCCTGTCACTGTGCAAAGGAAGAAATAGGAGCCGTCCACACACTGTAAAACAGCGACTGTAAGACCAAGCAGAAGCATCTACTGTAGCAACCGCTAGAACTGGGCACGAAATCCATATCACTATTGTTCTTTTCATTTGTAATAATATTTTCTGTATTTTTGAGTAAATAAATGCAGAATTGGTGAGCAGAAGAGACTTCTTTCAAAAACATTGAAACATTGGTAGAAAAAAAAAACTAATTTTGACAGGTGATGTATGTTTTATGAATTTGTATTAAATAATAAAACACAGAATCCAGAAAAATAAAACAAAATACGCAGAATTTGGTGGGAAAATTAAACTCATTTCATGGAGTTTTCTTGTAAACAAACACGTTAAATTTCCTCTTAACACTGGACTGAATCGGGTAAACAGTAGGCTAATCGACTACTTATCTGCTATACGGCAAATAATTAATATTCATGAGCCACGCTGAAAAGCTTTATGATTGGTCAGTGTTAGGTGTAACTAATTACTAAGTAATTAGTTACTGTAATTTAATTACTTTCCCCTTGAAAATGTAAAGTAAAGGATTACTCTTCATTTATCTGTAATTTAAGTACAGTTACTTCTGATGTAATTGAGGTAAAAACTGTGTATAGATCAATCCGATCTCACAGCGATTCGTATGCATTTTATGAGATGTCTAAATATTACAACCACACTCGTACAAATTCGTATGAATTTTAAAATATGTATGAAAAAAGTGTGAAATGTCATGAGATCAGACATAAAACAATAGTGGGTTTAACATCAAAATGTATTGTCTGATGCTAAAAAGTATGTTTTCATAATGTAACCTTCTCCACCTTCGTCAGTTTAAGGATAATTCATGCAATTTTATAGTATTTATTTGAAAGAATTGTATTATTGTATTATTCAGCTGGTTGAGGTTGATATGGGATTTTGAAAGTAATTAGTAATTAAAAGTAATTAAATACTTTTTAGAGAGAGTAATTAGTACAGTAATCTAATTACACTGTTGAAGAGGTAATTAGTAACTAGTAATTAATTACTTTTTTAGAGTAACTTACCCAACATTGTGATTGGTGTACGCCACACTTTTCAGATCGTTCCTAAGGCCTCGAACAACGTTATCAACCTGTCATTTCTCCTGATTTTAGGGTTATGCTGGTATTTAAGAGTGGTTTGTGATTTAAACATTATTCCAGAATCAACAGAGCATGGTGAACCATACACATGCGTGCTTCCCTCATTGGTCCAACACACAGAGACATCGAGCTTGTCAAGTTCACTTTGTCTTTTCACTTGAGACCCAGTACTAATCAAAAGCCCGAAATGGTTGCTATTGGACAGCAGTTCACTTCTTGCAAAGTAAATGTCAGCAGAGAACGTGACCCAACAGGTCACGGTGTGTTGAAAGAGTACAACCACCTGCTCATGTGCAGCGTCCCATTACAGTTAAATTAGCACTGGGTTGCTTTTAATATCCTCTGACAAAAAAAAGGCACAGTAAAACGGATGTGGGTGAACTGTTTTTTTGTTTGAAGTACAGTAACAAATCTTAGATAATGAAACCTCAGTGAAACGATGCAGTGCATGAATGACGACTTGGATTATAATTAGTGCATTGATGGTCTTGGTACTTTAGATTCAGTTTCAACTATATTGCCATTGTGCAAAGTAAAAGTACAGAGCACATATACTTCCCTCAGCTAGACTTTGCGGGAGTCATGTAGAGGGTCACATGTCCCTTAGACCCTCATTCACACACTACTGTTGTTTTTCTTGGCCTGAGGGGTCAATGGAGAGCTTTAGACCGACCGTAAAGTGAACAAAACACGGCGCTGACAATAATTTACACATACACATAAAAGTGAATCGAACGGATTTCAAGGCATCTCGAACAAGACCTTCTTTTCTTTTCCACTCCATTACTTTCCAGTGGGAATACTAGAGCAAATCCTGGAATGTTGGTGTAGGGATACTTTCCCCCCCAAATCCCAAAACTGCCAAAGTAAACCTCCTCAACATGAGCTGCACATGTCCAGCTACTCCAGCTTCAGGAAATGCCTGGAGAGAGCCGAGGTCTGAATCAATAAACCGCATTCAAACAAAGACAAACCTGTTGAGTCACAGGAAGAGGAACAGCACATTTCCTTTACAGTAGCGCTATCTGTGTCGCCCATCCCACTATTTATCTGACTCCCAGCCGCTCCGTTGGCTCGAACTACACAAAGGGATAGTTCATTTAGAATGACATCATTTACTCTCTTGTTGCTCAGAATCTGTGTGATTTTTTTCTTTCTTCTGAAAAACACAAAGGAGTTTGCCATACAATAAATCTCATCATATTCCTCTGTATATATTTATAAATATGGGTGATTCTTTAACTATAATACTTTTCTTGTCCCTGGATGAAATAGTAAAATCTGAAAAAATATTTTTTCTTTTTTGTTTTTGTCAGACTTACTTCACCCTAAGGGGAACCTCGCTTAATTCTAAATTAAATATTTAAATAATGTAGATTTTAAGTACAGATTATAAAATAATGTCTATTTCAATTATACATATTATATATTGCAATATTTATTCACATTTGCTTAAGTAGAACCATTGTCCCTTGGGTTCACTGTCATTTCCGCCACACTGTACAAAATAGAATCCTTGGATCATTGTTTTAGGTTTGTTTAATTAGTAACCATAGCAATAAAAACTCCACAGTGAACACATGGCTGGGTGAAAGGGTGACCTCTTTAGGGGGTAAAGAAAAGAAGAAAAATCAAGGTAAATGTGACTAAAACTGAGAATATGTTTATTGGCCGTCATTTCCAAATGGCTCATATTTCACATTGACGTAAAAATACCTGGATAAAATTAATTTAATAATGTGTAATTTGTGTATATTTAATGCCAACTGTAAAACTAATATTTACAGGCTAACATAGCATGATATTTTGGAGGAAAAGGGGGGAAATGTCATTTCCACCACAGTCATTTCCACCTACTAAAATGTTAATGTAAAAACAAAAAACATATAATTAATTAAGTTAAGTCAGTAAGAAATATTTTATTATTTATTATTGCTGCAATATTGTTGGTAAATAAGAGAACTTGGGTGTTTTCTTGGGCTGTCAGATAAAAATGTATATATATATATATATATATATACATTATTCAATACAAATCATCACACCCAACTTAAGGGAAGGATTCTAGACAGATTGAGAAACCAACTGATACTAAAAAACTGTTTGTAGAAATGTTTTTATTTTCTGAAACTGTCTAGCTCAAAGAGTTGAAGAATCACCCATATGCACACAGTTGCAATCGAAATTATTCAACCCCCATTGCAAATCAGTTTTGTTTGTTTTTTTGGCAAAAATGACAGACTTTCAGCTGTTTACAATGAACAAATTAAACAAAAGTAAATTGAAATAGCAAAATGTTTCAGGTGCTTTCCCCAAATTTAACTGAAAATTAAACTTTTCAGTTTCAAAATTATTCAACCCCCTGAATAAAATCCTTCACAAAAGCCAGAGTGCATGAACTCATATTTTGGGCGAACGTGAACTGAATGTACTCTATTACTGCCTGATGAACGATACTGTGAACTCGTTCATTTTGAAGTCTGTGAACGAACGCTCTCTCAGTTTAACTTCGTTCAATAGGGTGCCAGATTTCTATAAAGCATTCCAGGCGAAAGCCCGGCCAAAACACATGTAAACAGGCCTTCATATGTAGCGAAAAAAAAACATCCAATCTGGCAACAGATGTTACGTTCCGGCTCCAGGAAGTAACAAATTAAAGGGAACAGAGTCCAAAAAATATATTTAAGCAAAATATTTACCGTCCAGGGGATAAACAATAAAGAAAACAGACTTTCAACAGTAAATAAACAAACAAACAAACAATAAAGGAAAAAAAACAATATGAAGGTCCAGCTCCTGCATGTGAACAGCTACAGGATGGATCAGAGCTATCTTCCACAAAGGCCAGCCATCTTAAATAATAATTTCCAAATTGCAGACAGGTGTAGATCCTTATCTGGCAACCTATAAAAGAAAAGAAAGGACAACAGAACAAATCCAAAACAAACCGTAACAACCAGCCACCAGTGTCGCACCACGGCCGCCGCATGCGTCATCAAGACAAAAAGGGGAGGCGTCGCATCGTATGATCAGTTTTAAGACAAAGTCGGTGAGGATGGGAAAAAATCGTACATTTCTATGCAAACTTTTCCCGCCAATAAAATAACTGCTGTCTGTGATTGTATATGGGCTGTGGCAATCATTTTCTTAAAAAAAAAAATAGCTTTCAGCAACATATGGAAAATAAGAACTATGAACTAGTTCATTCACTAGTTCAAAATTGTGAAGTATGAACTATGAACTGAACTAGTTCATTTTAAAATTTGTGGACTGACCTTTGAACTAGTTCATGTAGAAAGGGAACTTTCCCAACACTGACAACAACACACATCTGCAAGCACAACTGATGCAACTAATGAAAGGCTTCATTAGTTGTACCAGGTGTGCTTGAGCTAGAACACACTAAATGGAAGTCAAAAGAATGGTCCAAAACTTTAAGAAGATTTCATCGCTCTTCAAGCTTGGAGCTTGAGCGTCATTGAAGCTTCCAACAGGACACTGATCCCAAGCATAACTCAAATTCCACCTAGCCTTGGTTTTAGAAAAAGTCGTGGAAGATTCTAGTGGCCGTCACAGTCACCTGACTTAAACCCCCTAGTCTCTGGTGGGATTTGAAGAAGACAAACCCAAGAATATGACTGAACTGGAGGCCATTGCTCATGAGGAATGGGCTAAGATTCCCCAGAAGCTGGTGTCTGGTTAAACATCTTGTTTGCAGCAAGTCATAACAGCCTAAATATGTTCTACTTAGTACTGAAGATACTTGCCATGAAGGGGTTGAATCATTCTGAAACTGCAGAAGTCATTAAAAGTTGCATTTTCAGTTGAATTTGGGGGAACCACATTTGTTGTCTGTACATTTAACAAAACAAAAAACTGATTTGCAATGGGAGTTGAATAGCTAGCTTCCCCTCTGCTGTTTCTCAAATTTCATTAGCAATTCAAAATATTAATGTGTACACATTCAATCCAGGCATTGATGACACCTAAGACCATTGCTAATGTACATTTATAGGATGTATAAATATTTTTGGAGACATATATGTTAAATCATTTCTCTTACAGTTTGAATATCATCAGTCATCAGGGATTTCATAATGAAAGATCAAGCCCTTCAAAATATGTGCTATTTTGATAGACTATATTTAATTTGATTAAATACATATTTCCATCGCATTCCTCAGACAGCAGGATTGCATTAGGTTGAGTGCATCTGCCAGTTCAAATAAGTAGTTATCCTTCCTTTTTCTACTATCGATCAAAAGTTTGGGGTCGGTAATATTTGTAATGTTTTTGTAACAAGTCTCTTCTGCTCACCAAGGCTACGTTTATATGAAGTAATATACAGTGAAAATGTGCAATATTGAAATATTTTTTATTTTAATATTGTATTCCTGTAATCAAAGCTGTATTTTCAGCATCCAGTCTTCAGAGTCACATGATCCTTCACAAGTCTTTATAATAGGATGATTTGCTGTTTGTGAAACATTTCTGATTATTATCAATGTTGAAAACTGTTGTGCTGCTTCATATTTTTAAAACAGCATTTAAAATAGAAATCTTCGATAACATTATAAATGTTTTTACTGTTTCTTTTAGTCAGTTTAAAGTTTCCTAGGAAACATGGTGTAATTTTGTCTGTACATCTGTCCACTGTCACACCCTGAATGTTGCTGACACAATTATGTGTGTGTGTTTTGCAGATGGGATTCTTCAGGAGGCATTACAGAGAAATCATAGAAGCGGAAAAGAACAGGAAGGACAGCGATGAAAGCTGGGATTGGGTCCAGAAGAGCCAATGAGAGCTTGGATTGGGTTCCGAAAATCCAATGAGCTGCTACCTTCATCACGGCTCTCTCCTTAAACCCTCCAGCCTTCCATATGTGGAAGAAAAGAATATTCTCCAGATTTTTCGGAGGTTTGACACTTTTTTTCATTGATGGTGATCTAGCTGACGTTTAAGGTGACCGTGTGGCCTGCCAGAAAACACTCGCAGTGGAATACCATTGATCCCAATGGGACAGGCCTCTTGAAGAGACTTCCTGAAAAGGAATGTGGATATTGTGTCAATACTAGCAGACAATTACAACCCTCAGGGCGCTGTTGAAAAGCAGAAAATCTATTTTTTATAAAATGTATTCCATACTGTATAGAAGAGAGTTGTTTTTAAAGCACTGATGACTGACACATGCCAAAGAGAGGATGTTATTCCTTCACAGTGTTTTCAGACCTTAAAGATGGATTGTATCTCGTTGTCCCCTCGAGTTTTCATTTACGGAGAACGCATAGCAAACGTTTGTGGCAACTCTCGAGCTACAAACGAGAATGAACCGTTATCCCAAACAAACTGCATCGTTGAAACTGCTCGAGTTGTGCTAAAAAACTGAAGGAGAAAAGCATCTACAGTACGTTCTCAGCTCAAACACGTCTTGTTCATGACATGTGAAATTCACAGCTTAGAGCATTGCTTGTTCTGCACTGGATATTGACCCCACTGAAAGATGCATATATTCCAGAGGAGAAGTCTTTCACCAAAATATATCAACTTTCTCTGACTTTGTCTTATTTTCCAACCACTTTTCATTATCTAATCAATTCTTAATCAAATCCCACTCTAAATTCTCCTCATTGAATCCCTTTTCACTTACAATGTCGCAATTGTTTGATTTAAGATGAAAACAAGTCATGAATTACAGTTCTACTGCAAGTATAAAAATATTCTGTGTTATTCTTCTACAGTCAATCTAACACCATGTATGTGTCTCCTGTTTCTTAACAAATCCCACAAGTTTTTGGACGTTCAGACTACACGTGTTTTAGGACCTGCAGTGTGTAATGGCCTAAAAATAGGTGGGAATGTGCAGTACTTCATCACTGGGCACAAACTCGTACTTTGGAGTTTGTTTGGACTTCGCTTTACATGAGCTGTTCGCTGTCAGACTTCACATCCATTCTGCCTTTAACCGCTCAAACTAAGCCAATGCAGAAATGGCACAGGGCCCAAATAAGTTTTAATATAGAGATTTTAAAATATCTCATCTGAAAGACAAATATGGAACTGATGTTGTTTTAGGGTGTAGTGTTTTGTTGCATTTTCCATTTCCCTCTAATTTTAGAGGGTTACATTGAAAGTAAATGTTTACCAAATGATCAATAGCTTTGCAATTAGATGTCAAATGATCTCTGGAAAATTTTCACACACACACACAAAAAAAAAATATATATATATATATATATATAAACACGTCTGCATTTCATGTCCGGCCCAACACCATGTTTTTGCATCGGTGTGTTTCAGAGAGACACGTACTTGACATCGTCAGTGTGTAACATAACTGTGAGTGTTGTTGCCATTATCACCTATTTTGAGCATTTTAGAATAAACTACTGTCACTGAATTTCAGTTTTATAGATGTATTGAGAAATATGTTTGTTGTACAAGCTCAAGCTGTATATTTATCTACTGAAACTGCCATTTTAAAATTAAAAATCACAAACAGATGTTTCGTCTCTGCTTTGTTTCGGTGCCACCCAAAACATTTAGTGTACCTTGTAGTGCTGAGGCCCTCTAGTGTAAAACTAGCGTACTGTTTACACTTCACTGCAGTCTTCAATGTCTGCCATATGATTTTCTTTATTACAGTAACAATTCATTATGCAATGATATGCTTTATAAAAATATATGCTTGAGTAGTAGGAATTTAGCAAATGGCGTCTGGTTGTCATCTTAAAAATGTTTAAAAATAGCAATGCAATCGGGATGTTGAAAACAGTTTATTTAGAATGGTTAATTCATCCTTGAAGTGGATGGAAATGCATTGTATTCTTGAGTTTTTTATTATATATTTTGTAATTAGAAGGATTGCTATATAGAGTGATGGATGGAAATATCAAAATAAGAAGAGTACTCAAATTGTTCTCGGCATCTGTTTAGACATTAAACAAATGGAACTGCAAAGCGATTTATGTTTTAATACAGTATTCTCAATTAATGTATTGATTGTTTTAGTTGTACTTGTTATTATATAATTACACTAGCTCTTTATCTCACTTTGCAATTAGTTTGGTTACTATGGGACATCTGAGAGCCACACAAACAGTCCTGCAACACTGCACATGCACTGCATTATTCATTAGCTCGTTCATTGTGTGACAGGCAGAGCACTTGCATGGAGCTACACCACCAGGTATGCTTATTTTAATATATCCATAAGCAAAGAAGAGACAATGTAAGTATCTGAAATTATTTGACCTGATATCCCAGTTTCAGAATGCATTTATATAGACCAGTGTGATAAAGTGCTTATTTCTTGTGCTAGAGGAATGACATCTGTAGTGGAGGACGGCTTGATAAAAACGAGCTCAATAGAGCGGGTTGCGGCTCCTCTGTCCGCTCACCTGTGTCACCTCATCCTGCTGTGCGGGAGCGAGACTGAACTCCTCCAGTTTGTCCCACTGGAAGCTGCAGCTCAAGCCGTGGCCAAAGCGGCCAAAAACATGGCGGCTGTAGCACTGAGGTCAGTTGCATGATTTTTTTTTTTCTAACGGGGTAGAAGGTAATTAAAGCATAGAAATATTTACATTATCAAATCTCCCTCAGGCAATCTTCCACCTGATTGTTCCATGTAATGTGATAGTAGAATTTAAATCTATTTAAAAAACTTAATGAAGTAGTTCACATTTTTAAAAAAAAAAATTGCTGATAATTTACTCATCCCCATGTCGTCCAAGATGTCCATGTCTTTCTTTCTTCAGTCGCAAAAGAAATTAAGGTTTTTGATGAAAACATTCCAGCATTTTCTCCATATAATGGACTTCAATGGGGTCCAAACGATTCAAGGTCCAAAAGACGCTTTCATTGCAGATGCAAACTGTTCAAAGGGCTTTAAACGATTCCAGACGATGAATAAGGGTCTTATCAAGCGAAACGATCGCTCATTAAAAAAAAAGTTTACGTTTTAAAAGCTCAAATGGTCGCCTTGCTCTGTTCTGTGATGCGCGTTCGTGACTCTCCTGTTCGAACTTGTTCATCAAAATGAATGAATCTTCTTCCGAGTCATTTGGTTCATTCAACGAACAAAAATGAATGAATTGACTCGGGAAAAGATTCGTCCATTTTGATGAACGAGTTCAAACAGGAGAGTCACGAACGCGCATCACAGAACTGAGCAAAGGCGAGCATTTGAGCTTATATAACTTAAACTTTATTTATTTATTAAATGAGCGATCGTTTCGCTTGATAAGACCCTTATTCATCGTCTGGAATCGTTTAAATCCCTTTGAACAGTTTGCAGTTTGCACTGAAAGTGTCTTTTGGACCTTGATCCGTTTGGACCCCATTGAAGTCCATTATATGGAGAAAAATCCTGGAATGTTTTGATCAAAAACCTTAATTTCTTTTCGACTGAAGAAAGAAAGACATGGACATCTTGGATGACATGGGGGTGAGTAAATTATCAGCAAAAGTTTTTTTTTTAAATGTAAACTACTCCTTTAATATGCTTATGCACAATAAATCCATTTTTCATTTGCACATTTTAATGTTTGTATTTAAATTTAACCTATATTACATTTAATTTAGTTTAAATGTATTGCTTTTTTTATTATAATATTTCTAGAAATATATTAGAAATTAGATATATAATATTTCTTTTTTTCTGCAATGAAAGCTCGCCACAGTTTCCTTGTGTGTGTGTATGTGTGTGAACATACTTGGCATTAAATTTCATTCTGATTCTGAAAAGTTGACTTATGAAAACAAAAGTGGGGGAATTACTACAGTAATTTTTTTTTAACTATATATACAAAAAAAAAAAACATTATCTTGGCACCATGTGTGTGGAAAAAACAAGGAAATACCATGCTACTTTTTTGTTGTATGGTATACCAGGACCTCAGAGGATTGATATTCACGTTATACCTCATATCCTTGCGTTCAGGCTAGTGGCAGACACTGAAGACGAGATCCTGAAAATGGAGATGGATCCACTGGTGGAGTCCCTGACTGTTTCAGGTCAACATGTGCTCCTGGCCACCCAAAAGCTCAGCATACAACCAGAGGTCATAGAGCACAGAGAAGAACTCATCGAAGCCACCCAAAACGTGCTGTTAGGTGTGGTCAAGGTAACATCTTTTGTGCGGTAAAGAAAAATAACTGAAATTAGAGTAATGGAGAAATTCACATGGGGATTTCGAGTCGTAAATCTATCCCTAACCCTTTAAACATGAACTTTCAATGAAAATCTTTTGAGTTTTGCAGAAAAAAGGTTTACCATCTGAACACAATCAGCTTTTACATGATTGAAATGCCCCCCATTCCACTTATTTTTGACCTATAGATCCTCCTAGTTGAAGATGATGCAACTATAAGGAAGATCACAGCCGCTGCTGACTGGCTTCTGCTGTGTCTTTCTCAAGTTGGAGCTGCGGCGAACATCTCGTCCTTATTAAAAGCGTTTCATGTATACTCGAAGGCAATGCTGTTTCTTCACAAACTGGTGGTGGAAAGAATTCAGGAGCTGCGTGACGGCAAACAGCAAGAGTGTCTGAGGGCTTCTCTGGAAACCCTGAAGAAATGTGTTTCCATGTTGCACACTGCCATGTACACGACCATCAAACATCCACACAGCGAAGAGGCTCAGGGTGCAAAGCAGTACATCTTAAACCAGGTGGATTCAACTGTAACTGACATCATAACCACACTCAAGAGCAACTGTGAACCAGCCTTGACGGGTTCATGTGGATACTACACTGGAATACAGAACAAGATACTGAGACTGCTGTCTGACCCTGCTTCTGTTAAAGATGGTGGGTTTGATGTTGTGCTTCATGACCTAGTGTTTCACAGCATGGCGGTAGCAAACACGTCTCGGAGGGATGTCCAGTCTGAGGTCGCTGCGCACTCCAAGCAAGTCCTTCAGCTCTGGTCAGAGATGTCACAACACATGAAATGCTGTGATAATCAACAGCTTGCAAAATCATGCGCTTCCCTATTGCAGCAAATCCACAAACTTGAAGATGCTGTGGTAAAAGCCACCCAGTTGCAAGTAATAAACATATTTGTCACAAGTTCAACTCCCTTGGATCAGTTGGTGCACACCGTAGGCTATATGGATGAGCAAGATGATGTGGAAACACTTCGTGTGCAAGTGGAATCCTTCACGGCTCATGCTGACAAAATATCAGAGGTGGCTGGCTTCATCTCAGCTTTAGCGTGTGATGAAAAGAGTCTTGAGGGTGTAGAGAACTCAAGGGGGTGCATTATGAGACTGAAACATGCAATTGCAGCAAATTTTGAGGAAGACAAGGTGCGTTCTGGTGAAGCTCTGGAAAAACTAAAAGAGATGCATGCGAGATGGTCCGAGGAGATGGAGCAGCTCTTGCATGCTTGTAGTCGCATTATAAACGTGAAGGACTTTGTCAGTGTTGCTTTGCAGGAGATGGAGAGCAACTTCAAGGGGTGCATTGAGGCACATAAACATGAGGATGCACAGTTTCTCACAAAACAAGCAAGCATGCTCATTGGCCATATGAGCTTGGTTATCCAGCTCGTGAGAAGACATGTCAGTAGGAGTGACAATCCAATCTACCGTAATGGACTCCTGGTTCTGATAAAGCAAACGGAAGGATCTGTTGGTGAAGTTGCAAGCTGCGTCACTGATATATATCCTCAAACCAGTCTTAGCAACGAGGCTTTCTCATTGCTTTCTACTAGTGTCTCGACAGCTTTAAAACACTTTGACATTCTACGTGAAGGACTTGATGGTTTGCAGCATCCACATCTTCTCAGCCCACTTCGGGAGGGGGCCCGCCAGTCTGCTGGTGCTGTACCATGTACTACGCCCGTTTCAGAACATGCAGACTCTGATAAAACAGAATCTTTAGTGCAAAGTTCCACTAGTGAAGAAGTTCAATGTCAGATTGAAGTTGGTTTGGAGAATCAGGCTGTTCAGACAATAATAGACCATGTTGTGTCAATCGCAGAAGAAGCATGGATTGCACCTGTAGTGGAATCTAAAGCTGTTGTACAGCTCCATAATATTGAGATGTTGCCTCTTTTGTGTGAAGTTGTCTGCATGACCAAAGGTAAAGATGTAGAGGCTCTCAACATGGCTTGCACTGGAGTTCTAGGACTCTCAAATAGCTACGCCCAAGCTACAAGAGAAGCCATCAGTGTCATAGACACGGCTGACAATGATGAAGTGGAAAGTCTGCGGTCCAAACTTGTGTCGTTGACACCCTTGCTAGTTCAGACAGCGCAGGAAACAGCCATGAGCTCAGCCATGGGTACAGATAGCATTTATAGGCACAGTACGCAATTCTCTGACCTCATTAAAAATGTGCGGAAGATACTGCTGCCAGTGACCGGGATGTGGTACCATGCCGTATCCTCCATGTTCCACAACTATGTACCAAATATGCTGGAGTCCATCACACAGGAACTCACTGAGGTCATGTGTTTATGTGCAGATGCTGTGCAACTTGTGACATCAGCAGATATA